TCTGGTCTTCTCAGCTAGATATTATCTTATCTCCTCCCCATTCTAATTTGTGTGCTCTCTGACAAATTGCAACTTTAGTTTCTATATGTTCAATTTTTTATATCTTAGCATACTTGAGTGTATTTTAATTAATTACCTAAACAAAGGAAGCCATGCAAAGTGGAATAAGATGTATTTAATAATTTAGTCACAGATACAATGTGTAGTTACAATTTTAACCTGCTACCTCTGTCTATATATGATTCTTTTCTATTACTTCTATTTAATCTCTATATTCTTAACAATGTAAACTCTAGCATTTTCCTATGGTATTTACTTGAGTATAGCTCAAGAATCCAACAATAGTAACTTTCAGGATATAATTTATATTTTTCTTATTTTATTTTCTGTATCTCTTTAATCATTATCTGGAGTTCTTAAATAGGTTATATAATAATATTGTTGATTGATTCTTTTGAATATTTGGGTGTTTTTATTGTTTTTGTTTACTTTTTATTCTGTTGTTTACTCTTTATTTTAGTCTGAGTGCCTCTAATATTTACAAAATTCAGGACCACCAGATCTGGGGCAAGGATGTGATTTACTGTCTGTTAATTTTATATGCTCCAAAAAATATTTTCTCTAAGTACACTTTAGAGATGTCTTTAATTCATAACTAATATATCCTGTTGGGATTCAAGGATACAAATCTCCCTCAAATAGCATGAAAAGCTTTATTTATTCTAAACACATTCTCTATGATTTTACAGAGGATTCACCATCTCTGCTGGTATTTTCAGAATAAAAACTTTAATCTTTTAAATTTGTTCTCACATGGCAGCTTCTTAAACATTTTTGTTGTTCTTCTTAAATTTAACTAACACAATCATATCTTTCCTAAGTGTTCAGGACTAGCTATTCATTTTCAAAGTGTGAATTAGACATAAATAATTAGATAGTCTCTGATTTATGGTATTTTAGGGGGCTGAAACCCTTTTAATCTTTCTGTGTAGAGCAACCCTTTAGAATGTGATCTTATTTTAATTAGGTAAAATTTAAAACTCAGTTCCTTAGCTAGCTATAGTAGCTGCACTTCAGAAATCATGCATAATTAATAAATACATTTTTTGATAGTGCAGGTACAGAATATTCACATCATAACAGAAAATTCAATGAGACAACCATAGTTTACAGTTTTATCTTTTATTTTTATAGCACCTTTCATAGAGACAATTTAACTCATTCAAACTTCTGAATAAGAACCAAGAAACTGTTTTACTGAAAAAAAATAATATTTCCCTTGTCATCTGTTTTGTAGTTGCAGCATTTCTTTGACTGTTATTCCCATTTTTCTGTAAGAATGTAAGCATTTTCTTAATGCCTCACAGCCCCAATTTTTCTCTTTATCACTGCTTTTCAGTAATTTGATTCTGATATATCTAGTATGGGTTTCTGTGCATTTATTCTTCTTGGGATTCATTGAGATTCTAGGATTTGTGAGATTATCATTTTTATCATATTTAGAAGATTTTTGGCTATTATGTTTTTGAATATTTTTCTGTTGGCTCCTCTGGGACTCCAGAGATATGTATATTAAATAGCTTGATACTGTTCACTGAGCTCTGAAGCCGTGTGTAGATTTTTTTTTTTCAGTGTTTTCTCTATATATTACATTTTGGTTATTCTCTATTCCCACAGCTTCAAATTTCCCTATCTATTCTGCAAAGCTTTGTCACCTGTTTATCTAGCCAGTGGTTTCTTTAAAGAATTCTTGTATACTTTAACTTTCATCTTTAAGTTCCATTTGATTCATTTATATATGTTTCATTTTTCTCTTGGTCACGGTCATATTTTTCAAGTGCCTAAGATCACTAGGCGGTTTTGATCCAGATTCTGGAGATGATGCATTTCATGTTGCTATTTTTTTTAATTATGCTTTTCTCTGATAGGCATTTTCATTGCTTTAGTTCCATCACTTGGTTTTGACATTTTGCTAGGACTGGCCTAAGGATCTTTTGTTACCAATAACTAAGGTCCACCAATTCTGATGTCTAAACTTGATGCTTCGGAAGTCAGTTTAGACCTTCCACTTTTGCTGGTAGGAACTTCAATAATTCTCAGCCGTTTTGGATCTTGAAATTCATTGGTTCACAGCTTTACAATATCTTTATATCCAGCCACATGGAATTTAACCCTTTGTATGCATGTCAGAGTTCAGCATTGATTCAAGGGACAGCCTGAATCAGATTTCTGTAGTTCTTTTTCTGCATGGCTCTCTTTTCTCATAAAAACTGCCTCACAGTGATAGGGATATTAGTTTAGTTCCTAGAATGCTTGCCTGGCATACAATCAATGCTAGGGTTCAGTTTTCAGTAACAAACACACACACACACACACACACACACACTGCCCCACTTCCTCAGATACTCTGTGCTCTATTCTCCATCTCCTCATCTCATGTCAGTGTCTCTACTTGCAAAACTTCCCCCCACCCTTTTGTATGCCTCCAAGATCTGAAACATGCTTTCCAGGCAGAAAACTGGGGCTATCCTAGGACTTAATTTATTTTCTCTTAGATGTCTTAGCTTTTCACTGCTTGTGGTTTAATGTCTGAAAAACAGTTGCTTCATCTGTGTTTACCTGGTTTTCTAATTGTGTGAATCAGGAGGTTTAATTAAGTCCCTGTTATTTTATCATGACGGACAGTGGAAGTCCTTCCTCAATTGATTGAAAATGCATGTTACAGAAATGTACAAACCAAACACTAGACTAATAATCAAGTAATGGTACATTAGAAACTAACTTGAGTCTTGATTTTAAAGAATGTTGAAGTAATAACACATGACACCACAAAATAATTCCTTCATTATCATGAATGCTGATAGAAACTGGCAATTGAGTATTTGTGAGAGAGATTAGATGCATATAGATTTTAGGGTACTTTGTAGTCATTAATTACAATTATACAACTGACAGTTGGGAGTTTGCCATGAGGGTCACCCCATGTGGTAAACAGATGGTGTCAAAGATCACATGTTGACATTTACAGTGAGAACTCAGAGTCCAAATGTACCTTCCTATTAAATTTGACTGAGGACCACTGTCAAATACAGACCTCGGGGCTCTATAGACCATGGGTCTGATGTAATCCAACATTTCTTGTGTTTGCATCTTACCCAATATACCGCTGTCCAGAAAATAAAATGTCAAACATAAAAAATATTCACAATAGCAAATAACAATAATATTTCTAAAAATATTTATCACATGTAAGCAAAAAGAAAATAATATGACATCCATGGATCATATTACTGACTTTGGCCTGTTCTGGTAAGAAATGGAACCTAACACTAGATTATGTGAAAAAGCTAACATTGTTATATACACATACTTTTATTTGTTTTTTTATTTCAGTTGATTCTGAGATTATTTGTCTTGAGATATACAATAGCTCAGATGACAGGATTTTAAAAAAATTATGACCTCTCCTTTTTTTAATCCTAGTTTGAGTAATTTATAAGGGAGCCAGTTAAATATATCTAAGGTGAAACAATACAAGGCAACATTATATTCTTCGTTTCTAAAGATGTCTTAATTTTTATGTAAATGATTTAACACTTTGTTTATTAAACTGACCTTCATTATAAAGACAAATGCATAATGTTGAGGGTCCCATTGGAAGTAAAGCCTTAATAACCACATAAGTAATAATTAACAGTTTTATCCAAAATACTTTTATGTTACTTGGTTATTTTTAATTTAGGAGTATCTGATTTAAATGCATGTGGGATAGATTTTCAGATACCAATTTACATGTGTTTAAGACTTCTACCACCTTAATACTTAATTTAGAAATGTCATTTTAAATGGTTCTTAAAAATCAAATGCATTTATTATTTTTAAGAATCCTCATATAAATATGGATTTGTTGCTGACAAAATGTATCAATTAGCCAATGTTCAACAAGGATCATCAATGTCAGTGAGTGTGTTTGTCAACATTTCAGTTTCACCATAAGAGTTTCTTTAAATAAATAGGTACTATAGAAGATGATGTCTGGCAGAATATATGTGTTTAATAAGTATAGGTATTAGGTGAGTTTTTAAGTCCTTAAAACTAAATCCGTAAGTTCTGGAGTACTTAGAAATAAAAGTTTCATTAGGTTGGAGTAAGCACAATTAAGCATTCTCCCAAGCTCAGAAAAAAATTTAAAAAAAATACTAGCAGTCCTTAGGCCTCTTATTAAAGGGATAAAAAAATTAGATTGAAAATAAAATTTCAATAGTTTTATCAATTCTACTAATTTTTGGGTTATTGATGAACACTGACTATACATGCTTTTTTAAAAAATTGACATTTCCTATTGGTTCAGTTAAATAACATGTACAGAATTAATTCTAATTAAATCTCTTACCCTCAAGATTATGTTTTCCTTATGTTAAATTTTCTAATTTAACTTCTGATTTTAATACCTTCTTTTTTTCTTTTCCACAGCCTTTAATTGAATTAACTGTTGGTTTCTGATAATAGGTTTCTGATATTCAAATAGATAACATGTATACCTGTTATAGAAAATGGAGAAATAAAAATGCATGTTCTCCAAGACTAACTGAGGTTACATTGCTATGTTAGATATTTCATCAAACTTTATTCGTGTTGTATTTTCTTTTCTGTTCACATAAAAAAGGCAATTTATTCCTCAAATGTTATTTTGCAAAAATGGGCTTACTTAAAAAATTATAAAAAATTCTATGAAATGTTCAGTCTTTATTTGGAAATGAATTTTGGATAAATGAATCAGGAATTTATTCAAAACATTATGTTAAGTATTTTTCCCTGCATTTAGCCATGCAATGTATAATTTTTATATTACTAATTTTTTTTCTCAAGAAAATCAGTAAAACTTTGGGATTTGAGTTCTCCTGAGTATAATATTGAAGAGCTAAAAAAAAGCCAGTGATGCCTAGGAACCTAATTATTTACTTTCTGACTGTGTTATTTTGTTTCTTTGTTTGTTTAAGGATTAAAACAAGGTGAGCCAACCATGACTGGCAAAACACAGACCAGCAATGTCACCAACAAGAATGACCCCAAGTCCATCAATTCCCGTGTTTTCATTGGCAATTTAAACACAGCCATTGTCAAGAAAGTTGACATTGAAGCCATTTTTTCAAAATATGGGAAAATAGTCGGATGCTCCGTTCACAAAGGTTATGCATTTGTACAGTACATGAGTGAGCGGCACGCAAGAGCTGCCGTGGCTGGGGAGAATGCCAGGATCATCGCGGGTCAACCGCTCGGTAAGCCATGTTCCCTTTCAGATTGCATAGTAGGTTTTCTCTGCACGCATCTGCATATGGTTTTGTCTTTGCAAAGCCAGCATCACTGTAATATCTTTTTCTTCATTAGCCAATTATAGTGCTTGAGTATTTATAGGTATGTTGGTTCCTTTTGCATGTAGGTATCATGTTTTGCATGCAAATTTATAAACTTGAGATCAAGGCTGCTTTGTAATATGTGTTACTTTGACCAATGTTAACAGAATATGGCAAATAATAAATTTGCATCACATGTAACTTTATTTTCCTTGAAAAGGTGTGTATTTTCCAGGTAACAGTAAACTAAGCAAAACTTTGCTTATTATAGTGTTTGCTCAGAGAAGCTAATTATTTTCTTTATTTCCAATTTTTATTTTTGGTAAGGAAGAAGTAAAAATATACTAAAAGGAAGCAAACCTTGTAGAAGAGAAAAAGGCATTTAACTTGCCACTCTTAGAGATTTAGAAATCTTGTGTATCACACCTGTTCAATCATGTGTAATAATCAGATATGCTCCTGATGTCCAAGGAATAACATTGTATTTTTTCAGAGAGAAAAATATACTCTGAAGTAAAATTCAAAGACAGGAGAAAATGTTTTTCAGTTAATGTATAGGTAACAAGTAAAAATTAGATAATATTTAGGTGTCTCCCTACATGTGGAAAAATACAATCAATATGTCAATGATTCCCTATACATCTCTTTTCCTGCCCAGACTTGTATCTCAGACTGATTATTACACAACATCTACTCTTGACATCCAACAGGCACCTCAGAACAAACTCCTGATTTTCTACACCCTACTCTTTCCAAGCCTAAACTTTTCTCTCACAATAAGTGGAACACTTATTAATTCATTACTCAAATAAAAATCTAAGTTTCAACCCTGATTCATCCCTTCCCTTTACATTCTAAATATAATCCATCATCAAATTTGCTTGCCAATATATTCTAAACCCAGTCGCCTTCTAAATCTGCCCTGAAGGCCAGCTCATGCAGGCCTCCATCTTACATCAGTGGACTATGGTGAGAATCCCCTAGATTTTCTCTTTCCACTCTTGACATTGTCTTTTAAAAACACCAATTAGATTATGCCTGTTTCTAGATTTCTAAGGCCTTATCACATAGAATAAAAGGTACATTCTGTATTGTGCCTACAATGCCCTACCATTACATCCCCAATCTCCTCTCTGCCTTCCTGTGCCATTCTACTAAGACTATCCACCTGGATGTGCCTCAAGCCTTTCAGTTTGTTCCTATTTCAGTGGCTTTGGACTTGCTAGTTCCTCCATTGGATATTTGCTCCCTGATTCACTGTATGTTGTGCTCAAAATTTACCTCCAAAGACAGGCTATTCCTGACTAGCCTACCTAAATAAAGTAGTCTTCTGACCCCTAGCATTCACTGTATATGCTGTGATTCAGCTTCCCATCCTTCATAGCCTTCATTAGTATATGATTATAAGTTTTAATTTTTATATTACCTCAGTCCCGTTCATACACATAAAGCCAAAGGACCATATGAAATAAATGAAAGTATTGAGACACCAAGTATGAAGAGTGTTAAAAAATATTATGAGCATTATCAAATTTATAAGATACTTAAGAAAAATGTTTCAGAAGGCATGGAATTCAGAAAAATGTGAAGTAAGTCTAAGATAATAGTTTTTGAGAAAAAATACAAAAGATATTTTATTAAAGTGGCTGCTATTGTAAACTCAAAAGTAATCATTGCAAGAATATATTTTTTATTTACCTTATTCTTGTTGAGTTTTCCCATATCTTAAAGAAAGGTAATGCTTTTCACTAGTCAGTTTTTCATTTTTCTCTTTGTTTTCCATAATGTCTCCATATTGCTTAATTACCTTCATACTCTGACCTTTCTGTTTTTTCTAAGTTGAAATTCCTATTTCAAAGCCACATTTCAACCAATTTCATTGAAAATCCCACTTATTGTTCGTACCCTGATTGTTATGAACTAGCAGATACTTGTGGAAATGTATTTAGCTATTTCTGATTAAATAATAATAATAATAATTTGCCAAAAATTTTTAAATGACAAATCTTATTAGTTGCTATTTTGATGCTGTAAGTAAAGGGGCCACTGAAATATCATCAGCAGGTGAATGCTATGTGGAAATGTCTTAGTTAAAGGAAAACCCAGAAGTTTGTTGGACAAATTAGTATGATTGATAAAAACTATACACAGGCACGTGTGTTGATAGTCCACTCAAAGTGATCAAGTTTCAAATTAAGAAGATAAAAGAGAGGAAAAAGTAGGAAAAGCAGGTAAGATGCATAAAACTATAACTAGTTGGCATAGTGGGTGAAAAAGAGAAAGAATTAAACATGAGGTTCATATTTCTGGTTTCAGCCCTGCTAGTCTCTAGGATGGGTAGTCTTAATAATTCTCTAAGCTGATGCAGAATGATTTTTAAGGGAAAGGGGTTTGGTATAATAAGTTCATGAGTGAATGTACGCTGTTAAGGTTAATGGGCAGGCCTGAGAGTATCCACGTATGTTAGCAAAATCTTATATTCACAGACCCAAAACTAAATGGACAGATTTGGACTAAGGATATATTATGAGTCGACACAAGTAGTGTTAAAGCTCAGAAAATGATAAACTCACCAAAGTGGAGCAGACAGAGTGAGAAGAGACCAGTAGCTAATAATGAATCTGTGGAGAAATCTTTGGTTCCCTGAAAAGAATGAATCTGACATAACTTTTTTATGTTCATATATGACATGACAGTGAAACTCCATATTATGTATAACCACAAGAATGGGATCCTAATTAGAATAAGTTATACTCCATGTATGTATTATATGTCAAAATACATTCTACCGTCATTTATATCTTGAACAAATTTTTTAAAAAAGAGAAAAACATTTCTGATGAACTATCTGCAAAGATCTGAATCAAAACTGTCTTCAGAGGTTGTGCACGCACGCTTGCAGGGACTGCTCCCAGGGTCTGTCCTTGCTTCTTGTCTTCCTGTTGTTGCTTTCAGCCAGTGTCTGCTATCCACCTGCAAAAGATAAAAGGAAACTCGAAAATGACTTGTACTATCTATTTTTTCATAGGAGAGGTCACACAAAGTATCCTTTAAACAAAAGCATCATGTAGAGGTTAGAGACTAAATTTAGATCTGTGCCAAATTTTATGTATCCACTAATTACACAGGCTTGATTGCACTTGTTCTAGAAATAAACATTCCTAATATCTTTATTTTCAGATTATTTCACTGTTACAATTGTAAGTTTGCAAAAGACACAATTTATGAACTTTAGAAATTATCTATTAATGGTGGAAGGAACAGAGCACCCAGAAAATTTATCTGTAGAAATCATTCGTATTTTATAACCTGTAAACAGGTCCCTGTCTTTACTTAGCAAAGTCTGGTTAAGAAAAAGAATGCAGAAGATAGAAAATGAGGTTAATTTCATTCACATTTGAAAAGTCTTGCAAATATGGATGGAATTTCAGGTAGGAGCAAATTTAATAAGGATTGTTAATTTTAAAGTAAATGTGGTACATACACTATTAATCCCAATGCTGAAGGAAGTAATGGAGGTAATTTTGTAAAGAAGAAAATGGTGGAGAGAGATACTCAGCACCTCTTATAACAAATGCTTGTGATGACCTATCAGGAATGTCTTCAGAGTAATGAATGTGCAATGTATCCTTATCGCCAACTACCATTTGTATCCACTGAAGTTATCAAAATACAAATTCTATCATGTCACCCTCTGATTAAAATTTTCAGGGACTTATCATTGTACTCATAAAAAAGACTGAGACCTTTGCTGTGGCCTGCGACACGACATTGTCTCTTGGTCATCTGCAGATTCCCATCACAGATCACAGTTTTGCTCAGCATCCCATCTAAATTGATGTCTTTCAGTTCCATGACGAGTGCAAGTTCTTACCCTGAACAGGGCCTTTGCACATCTGTTTTGACTGCCTGGAATGTCCTTCCCTACCAAGCTCCAGACCACCTTACTTTGCTTCCCTATTTCTTCATTCCCTTTACCTAGTTATTCATTCTTCAGATCTTGAGCTAATGTTCATTACATTAGGTAAATCTACTTTGCTTGCTCAAGTCTTGTTGAAACATTTTACTTCCCTTTCTTGCAGGTATGTTCTTTTCAATTGTGTTTTTATAGTTATCATTTTGTAATTGATATTGTGAACTCTTTCCCTCTAAGCTGTAAATTCTATGAGGGTGTGTGTGTGTGTGTGTGTGTGTGTGTGTGTGGTTAATTCTTAGCTTCTAGCTGAGTATTCACACTTCCTTGGTAAATGTTCAGTAAATAGATGCTGGACCAATTGGCTGGGTAGGTGGTTATTGTTGGAACGAATGGACTTTACTAAAAATGTTTTTCCTCTCCTTGAAAAGTACACCACAAGAAGAAAAAACAAAAAGGGAGAGGAATAAAACAATAAGGAGGAAGAAAAGGAGGAGAATGGGGCACTTGCAAGCTCCCTGGATGGCTAGAGTTGGGGTTGTTGCTAGGAGAAGGCACAAATCTCTTTGATGTAGGATTAGTTATTCAGAACCTCAAAAGCCAAACTATTTATTAGGCTTATTTCATTTTTTTTTTCTAAGTAGAATCCAGTCCTAAATATGCATCAAATATAAACTCATCTTTATTTTATTCAAAAGTTAGAGTGAATGACATATTGGTTTAAAGAAAGATTTTTATTCACAGACAACTTCCTACACATTTCCTAAAATGTTGTTCTTTCATAATTTGAGTCATAACTGGATATTTACATTGTCAAAGCTGTTTCATGAAATCTCTTTCATGCATATGTTATCTTCTTCGTTTTTTTCATTGCTGAGAGGTGACTAATATGAATATTTACACCCATTCTTCCAGGTAGGAGCTTAAATGAACTTGCCCTCTATCACACAAATGGTAGTACAAAAAATTCAAACTCACCTTGGCTAACCCTCATTGTTTTTGCTATTTATCC